ATATTTGTCCTTTCGTGATTGACTTATTTCACTCAGCATAATGCCCTCCAGATTCATCCATGTTATGAGATGCTTCGCAGATTCATCATTGTTCTTTATCGTTGCGTAGTATTCCATTGTGTGTAGGTACCGTAGTTTGTTTATCCATTCATCTGTTGATGGGCATCTAGGTTGTTTGCATCTTTTTGCTATTGTGAACAGTGCTGCAGGGAACATGGGTGTGCATATGTCCATTCGTGCGACGGCTCTTTTTTCTCTAGGATATATTCCTAGGAGTGTGATTGCTGGATCATATGGTATTTCTATTTCTAGCTTTCTAAGGAAGCGCCATATCATTTTCCAGAATGGTTGTACCATTTTACATTCCCACCAGCAGTGCGTAAGAGTTCCAATCTCCGTGCAGCCTCTCCCAACATTTGTTATTTTCTGTTTTTTTGATTCGTGCCAGTAATGCCGGGGTGAGATAGTATCTCATTGTAGTTTTGATTTGCATTTCTCTAATGGCTAGTGATCTCAAGCATTTCCTCACGTGTCTGTTAGCCATTTGAATGTCTTCTTTGGTGAAGTGTTTATTCATTTCCTTTGACCATTTTTTTATTGGATTATTTGTCTTTTTGTTGTAGAGGTGTTGGATTTTCCTGTAGATTTTAGAGATTAGACCTTTGTGGAATTTGTCATAGCCAAAAATTTTTTCCCAGTCTGTAGGTTCTCTTTTTACTCTTTTGGTGAAGTCTTTTGATGAGTGTCTAAGTGTTTAATTTTTAGAAGATCCCAGTTACCTGGCTTATCTTCTGGGGTTTGTGTGTTGTTATGGTTTGTATTCTGTTAATGCTGTGTATTAGGGTGTCTAGCATTGATCCTATTTTTGCATCTATGATCTTTATAGTTTTTTGATTTTATATTTAGGTCTTTGGTCCATTTTGAATTAGTTTTTGTAGATGGTGTGAGGTATGGGTCCTGTTTCATTTTTTTGCAGATAGACATTCAGTTTTGCCAGCAGCATTTGTTAAAAAGACTGTCTTTTTCCCATTTGATGAACTTTGGGCCTTTGTCGAAGATCAGGTGACCATAGGTGGATGGATTTACATCTGGGTTCTCTCAATTCTGTTCCATCAGTCAGTGTATCTGTCGTTGTACCAGTACCAGGCTGTTTGACTACTGTAGCTGTATAGTAGGTTCTGAGGTCAGGTTACACTAAGGAACTTTTACCTTACGAACTTTCTTATATGCCAGAACAAATGTGCATCAGCTCTGCTTATGACCAACATATGGTGTTTACAATTGTGGGTGATCATTTTAGTTTATGGTTGTCTACTAGTTTTGTGGTATAGTTGCTATATTTATGCTCATTTTTGAGATGTTTTATAAACATTAGTAATTTCATCATAATCAATATGTACAAAAGCAGCAGGTATTGAAAATGCTGTTAGAAAAGGCATACTACTATGATATGGAAACAAAAATAAAACTTTACATAGTATAGACGTTAGTGTTTAATGCAGTGACACTTTGGACACATGTACAAATTTAAGGAAAGCCTTTCAGAAACTAACATGTTGAAAGAGGAGAAGCCCCTCCAATATCAAATTCTCTATAATCTAGCCTTCACCAACCCCATTTCTCACCATGCTTGCACTGGATATACTCAGTCCTCCAGGATGCTAAACCAAAAAGCTAACCCAGTGCCGCTGAGTCGATTTCGTTTCATGGCGACCCTATAGGACAGAGTAGAACTGCCTTATAGAGTTTCCAAGGCTATAAGTCTTTATAGAAGCAGACTGTCACATCTTTCTCCTGTGGAGTGGGTGTTCAGTTCGAACTGCTGACCTTTTGGTTAGCAGCCAAGTGCTTTAACCACTGCACCACCAGGATGCTAAATTTGTACCTTCCTCTCTCAGTATTTTCATGTCTTCTTCCCATGCCCCCAGTCTGGGTTAGGTGCCTCTCTGCCTTCTTGTACTTTGTGCATAGTTGTATCGTAATACTGTGACACTTTAACATAATTCTTCATTCATGAATATCTTTTCCTAGACTGACTCATTGAAGGCAGGGACTCTGTCTTTGCTGATGGCTTACATTTTTTAATGACAAGTGCACGTTGTTGTGTGCAGTTGAGTCGATTCTGAGTCATAGTGACCTTGTATGATTGAGTAGAACTGCCCCATAGGGTTTCCTAGGCTGTAATCTTTTTGAGAGTAGATAGCCAGGTCTTTTCTCCCTTGGAGTGACTGGTGAGTTCAAACCACCAACCTTTTGGTTAGCAGCTGAGCGCTTAAAAATTGTACCACCAGGGCCCCTTTGAGACTCTTATCCTTTATTTCTGTCTCCCATTGTCACTACAGTGACTGGCACATAGTTTTTCAGTGATACGTTGATGAATAAATATGGGGTTGTGACTGATATTATTGATGCTGAGCTGAAATATCCTAAATACTGGAAACTTTTTGCCTTGTTGTTGTTTTTGTGGTAATTGCATAATCTGTGTATTTAAACATGAAAAGTGGCTATATAATACTGGAGAATTATGGACTGTCACTTTTTTGGAACCTTGGTTTAGTATGAACTATCAATCTTTATAAAAGCCTACTACTAGATATTCTCTACTACTTACTGTCTTGTCCATCACTTTCCCCTTAACAATTGAATAATTGTCTTTTTCTATTAGCCTTCATATTATTCTGATTTTTCCGTTTTCTTCTGTTTAGAAGTTGTTCTAGTGTTTCAAGAGATCCTTGAATATTAAGATGTGCAAACATAATTAAAGAGTGATTAATTTTTCTACTCCTTTAGATACATCTAAACAATGTAACCAAGAAAATGATTGCAGAAGAGAGAAGGATACATGGGGAACTGTAAATGAGCTAGCCAACAGGTAAAACAATTTTGATTATCATAGTGATTTTTTTTCTTTATTAATTTTAGTGCCATCTTAAGCCATTTTCCAAACTTCTCTACTATGAGATATTCCATAATTGCCCCTCTTAACCAGACAGTATTTTTCCAGTGTGGACCCACATTTTCAGAAAAGATTCAACATTTCTGTTGCATGGACTTAAAAAAAAAAAAGTATCTATTGCAAGTTTGGGGATTTTTACCTTTTTGTGTCTGTGAACTTATTGGAAACCATGTTGTGACCATTGATTAAACTGTAAGAGTTTAGGGACCTTGAAGATCATCTAGTCTGGTAGTTTTCAGATTGCATTCTGCAGTGCCCCCTGGTGCTGTGGATGAGTTCCAACATCAGCTTGAACAGCTTGCTTTTTTATTTGTATTATATATTGAGGTATTTACATGTTATTTGATTTTAAAATATTCCATGCTTTAAAAAAATAATTGGAAGACTTCTGATTTAACCTAATCCTAAAATTTAACAGATAAAAGATCTGAACCTAGTTGTTGTAACTTCCTTCAGGAACATTCTTGTTTTCTCTATTGCCTGTTTTCTCTATCATTCCATTTTGGCTCTGAAAGCTGATACCAGATTATATAAACTAAAATCTCTGAACTAGCTGTATGTAACCCACACGGGGAATATATTTGTTCTTTGTTGAAATTAACCATTATTAAGTAGTAATCAAGCACAGGCAAAGTGAACAGATTCTCTTACTTGTTTTTTTCTGATTTCCCCTTGACCTAAATAGGTGTCTTTTAGTTCACCGTCCCCAAATAGATGAGAGACAAATATGGAAATAAAATACTTAGGAAAGTCCTAGAAGAAAATCCTAAATTTTCAATGAATGGAAGCATTCTTTATTCTGTACACTCTTAATCCATTAATAAGTTGAAACACTGTAACAAAAATCAAACATTTTATGTGAAACTGTACCTTTGACAGTTTCCTCTCTAGTCATTTTCTGGTTGACAGGAGGTCAGGACTAGTTGTGGAAGAATTTGTTTTTATTCTTATATCTGAGTGTGATATTGATTTTCTGAGTACCTAAAGAAAAATGATGAAATCATCTGTGAAGTCCCAATACTGAAGAGTAGTAAACTTACTGAGCTTGCCCATTTTACCCTCTTATCACAATTTCTTTTTCTTACAGCATGCTAGAGGGGGATAGTTGGTACTTCCTAATCTCAATTATATTGGTGGTTTGTTTTCCCTTGAGAGAGCAAATTAAATATTTTGACGAAATTATCTTGCTGAAGTAAAGATTAATAGTAGTCTTTAGGATAGTAGATTAATACATAAATAAGATTTATGAACTCCGCTGAACCTCAAGATTCTTTCTTGAAGTGAAATTTTGTACTAAGGTCACTATCAGGATTCTATAAGAGCTAGACACTCAGCTCCTAACAATTTAGTTCAAATGGAATTCTCTCAATATAGGAAAAAGAAGTTGTATTCAGTATACTTTGATTTCCACATCTTTCCTCTTCCAAGCCCTATATCTTTTAATTATTTTCTGATACTTTATTTTAATTATAGGTTTGGGATATTGAAGGTATGGGAAGGCTTTTGGTGACAATGGATGAGTGCTTAATGGACTCTAAAAGATTATTATTGCCTTAATAGCAGAACAGAAGACCTGGGAAGAGTTCAGTTACTAAGATGTGGAAATAGTCTTGTTGCTTGAATTCTTCACTCTAAAAGGTTTTTGTAATAAAATGTTTCATCAGTAATTAATTAATTCTTAATTAAATTCGTATTTAAAGAATATAATATCATTTTTTGGCACGTAGTTGGGCTATTACCTAATATTTTATTTGCAGTGGCATTTTCTTACATCAGTAATATTGTACTTAATTTGAAAATTTACATAAGGATATGATCAATCCAGTTAAAAGCCATGAAAAGAGTATAGTTTTTAGAATGTGTTATTAGCCTATTAACATGCAGTTGTCCTTCACAGCTACCAAAATATTATTAGTCTTTTCCATAAATCTCAGCACTAGTTTTAAGCAGAATTTGAGCTGATGGTGGCTGTATCATACTTAAAACCAGAATTCAGTGATTGGTGATATCTTTCCTGTACACTGTAGACTTTATCCTTTGCAGTGGTTTTTGGGAAGGTTTCATAATATTTTAGTGGTGATGATGGAGTTCTAGACCTCTAACGTTTTCTCCTTTACTGCATTTCAAAGACAGGGCAGTATGATCTTATACGCACGCCGGCTAAACATCCTTAGTCTCAGAAATAGAATTCCAATTGCATATCCTTTCTCTTTTTAGAATTTCTATTTATTCTTTCTCTGTTAATTATAGATACATGATACATTGTAACAACAGCTGCAAATAAATATGAAAAATAGTTGGTTAAAATTTCTAATATATTCACTTGTCGCATTTTTTCCTCAAGTTCTTTTCTAGGCCTTGTTCACAATCATATGTAAATTTAGTTCTAATCAAAGCATGGATACAGTCTTGAATTCTAAAATACAAAATTTGTAAGCATTAACATAGCATAAACAGTTTTGTGTATGTGTATTTACTTAACATTATATTACCAGTTTTTACTTATAATGACTTTGTAACATTGTTTATTTTTAGACCTTTAGGTTTCCCCAGTTTTTTTACTATTATAAAAAGCATGTCACTTTTTTTCTTTTCTTTTAAAAGTGCTCTTAGTATAAATTTCCACAATGGGATCAGCACCCTTTCTTTTCATATGTTACCGTGCTGGGATTTCATGGGCCTTAATCTTGGCACTGCAGATGGATAAAGAGGAAAGGACTGAGCCAGGGCTGCTTAAAGTTGTCTTGGATTGAAATGTTAGTTGGGTTAATAGCATGTTGCCAATTCAGAAATGAGAGAGAGGAAGGTATTCAATACGCTTCCGTTGTTTTCTGTTACAACTTTATTGTAAGTCTCTGCAAGGATGATTCAAATAGAAAAATTGAGTGTCACCTGTAGAACTCTGTATGGTTGTTATGAGTCGGAATCGACTGGTGGCAGAGGGATTTTTTTGATAGAACCTTATCTTTAAGTTACATTTATTCATTGATTCTTTCGGTCTGTCAGTTATTTGGCAAATATGTATTACACTACCATGTACCAGGCACTGTGCTAGTACCTGGAAATAGCTTAGCCTTTGTTTTCAAGGAGCTCACCATCTAGTTGTGGCACCCTTTAGCATGGTCCATAGATTGCTGACCCTTCCAGGGGGCTTTTTGATAAGTTTAATGTAAGTTTTTATAAAACTTTGAAAAAGTTAAGATAAAATCGTAACAGATGGCTAATCTTTTGTCTTTGATATCTGGATTATATTTTGTTCAGGCTAAATTAAATCTTGAGCTACTGCAGTGATTTTCAGTTATGGCTGGAAGGTAGGCAAAGACTCAAAGAGGGCATATGTAGTTTGAAAAACTATTTGCTGTTGTATAAAATAACTTGCAAAGCTGTTAATTGTGTACTTCTGGCTGTGATTAAAAGCATCTATATGTTTGATGTTGAAAGTGGTCTCTGTCGTAATCCTGTCTTTCACATTACCTAGGCTAAAAAACGAGCCCTGTTGGTGCAGTGGTTAAAGTGCTTGGCTCGTAATTGAATGGTTTGCCATTTGAACTCACCAGCTGCTCTGTGGGAGAAAGATGTGGCAGTCTGCTTCCGTAAAGATTATAGCCTTGGAAACCCTATGGGGCAGTTCTCCTCTGTCCTATGAGTTGGAATCGACTTGACAGCTGTGAGTTTAGGCTAAAAAAGCTTTTGGACAGTGACCAGACTAAATTCATGATTCAAATTAAAAATTCTTTGAAGATCCGGATAGTTACTTTAAACTTATCATTGCTTTCAAGGTTTTTAAAATGTAATAACTTATTTTGTAATAGTGTGAAGAGATGCATGAGATTTTTATATTTGTCTAAAGGAACAAGGGAATCTAAAAGATGAAGGAATACTATGTGTATAATGCAGCAAACTAAAATTGAATAACCTTAAGACTTTACTGTAAGTCTGACATATTTACTTTAAAGCAGAATTCAGCCTAATTGGGAAATTGACATGAAATATCAAGAATCTTAAAGTCTCTAATACAATGAAATTATGTGATCTGGACCCTGAGGACATTGTCATAATGCGATTGCAGTTAATAGCATTTGTTTTTACCATGTAATCAAGTCTTCGAGTGTTCAAGAAGTCATTTAACCATTTTAAAAAATACTATCAGCTTTTTTTTTTTTTTAAATATAGCAGGTAAGTAAAATGTTCATAATTTGGGAGGCTGATACACAAATTGGGCTGAAGTACTGCTCTAATTGTCACCATACCTCCCTAGAATAAACTGCCTTTTGATGACTGGGACGAATTGAGTGAAATCGTAACGGACAGATACGGGGCAGACAGTTACTTTAGAATATTCAGATACATCAAGTGAATGGAATTCCTTCCTACTTATAATTTGGATTTATTTGTTTTCCTTTTAGCCCTGCCTCCTTTCTTTTGCAGTCAGCTCCATTATCAGACAGAAATAGTGTTACACTTCTTGAAAAGGTACATGTTAAAACAGTTTTCAATTCTGACCGTTTAAAATTATATTATAGTTTAATTAAATTTAATTTCTGTTTTCACATTTCCCAGTATTTGCACATTATGTAGCACTTCTATTTACACATCCTCCATTGCTTTTAAGTGGGAATACTTATTTAATTGTGCTAGTGAACATGTAATTTCACAATAAAATTAACCATCTTTTATATGTTCATGATAACCCACAAACCTCCAATGAATAAGCCTCAAGATCAGCCATGATTATTAATGTCTTTAACATTACATGTGTGTCTTCTTCAGGACATGAAGATGAGAACTCCCAGAGAGAAAGATGAAACAATTTCTAAGAAAACACCTGAATCTGAAATGGAAGACTCTCCATCATCAGATATTGCAAAAAATTCAGAGAGTAGTGCAGTTGGGGGGTCTCTGCCAGCCCAAAAAAGTGATCCATTCCAAAAAGAGCAAGAGCATCTGGTAGAAGAGGTTAGGAAAAAGACTTTAATAAGTATACTTAAACATCTGTTATTTTCTCAATGGTGTTGGAATCATACATAAATGAAGTACAGTTGATTACTGATTAACTGGGGTAATTTGGGAAAAAGGAGGTCACAGATAATCAAAATCATGGCTAAAGCAAAATTGTGTCTCTCAAAAAGTAGACATAGATTTAGTATAACCTTAGTTAAGACTTTATCATGCTTTAGAACCCCACTTCCCAATCTATAAATATCACCTAAAAATATAAAAATAATTCATGTGTGGTGTCCTTAGAACTAAACTACCACATAAATTGTTGGATAAATATATCCAGTGGTTATACCCTATTAAAACACTCTTCAGTGTTGTCTGTTTCTTAGCAGAGCTTCCTCTTTTTTTGATTATCAGACAAAGACTATGCAGTATCATTTTATCACTGAGCAGCAGTTTTGTCTTCTTTGCTTTCTAAATATTTCAAAAGTGATTAAATTCATTGTTATTTATGAGCTTGTCTTTCCTAACCAGCTTTGTCCCTTAGCACTGTTCTGCTTTTCACTAGTAAGCGACCATATGCTGCTACTATTGCTCAGTATAGGAGTTACTGTGTGATGCAAATGGTTAATCATTTGCCTGCTAACCAAAAGGTTGGCAGTTTGAACCCACCCAGAGGTGCCTTCAAAGAAAATCCTGGCAATCTGCCTTGAAAACTCTGGAGCACAGTTCTACTCTGATATACATGGGTTCACCATGAGTTAGAATCGACTCAACGGCAATGGAATTTTTTTTTGTTATTCCTCAGTATTACAGAACTCAGTTTACATAAATTAAATATTCAAACCATTCTTTAATGTTATTTTTATTATGTGTTCCCTACAACATCCCTTAGCATTGTTTGAATTTGGTTAAGAAGCCAGAAAGTACATGCGTTGCCTTATATTCGTGAAAGACAGGAAGAAAAATTTGGTTTAGTGCATATTAATTAGGTATTAGAGTTCCTTTGCTTATCCCAATCCTGATTAACTTAAATGAGCATTGTCCACATCAGAGATCTATATGCCAGTCATTTTTCTTGTTTGTAAGAGAACAGGAGGAGATTGGACCAGTTTCATGGTCTCTACAAATGCTTAAATGTCTCCAGTTCTATTGTTTCTTTTTATTGGTTGATTGACTCTACATTAAAGTAAAGATGGTCAATCAGGCTTTTTTTTTCCCTCTAATTGTGAAGGGAAAGGTATATTTTCTGGTTGAAAGAATTAAGGATAGCAGTGGAAGGGGATGGAATGGAAGGAAAGTCCTGAAATCTTACAAAGCTCTGAAAGTAAAGTGAAGTTAACTTTCTTTAATGGTATTTGTGACAAGGGATATTCAGTGTTTGAATTCCAGGTAACCTTTATTTTCCTGGGGGAGGTTAGAACATGTGGTGGGGCGGGGGTGGAGGGGAGAGCTAATCTGATTATGGCCGTATAAAGTTTATTTTTTAGGGACCTCAGGGGGTAGAGATTTTAATTTACATGCTTTTTGTTTCCAATTTTATTGCTATTTAGTTAACATGTTGATGTGTGCCATCGAGTCGATTTCGATTCATAGTGACCTGTATAGGACAGTAGAATTGCTCCATAGGTTTTCCTAGGTTGTAATGTTTATGGGAGCAGATCGCCAGGTCTTTTCTCCTGAGAAGCTGCTAGTGGATTCAAATCGCCAACCTTTCAGTTAGCAGCTGTGCGCTTTAACTGTTGTGCTACCTGGGTTCCTGTTGTTAGCAGACTTTTCTCTACTTGGAATGTATCCCTGTACCTTTGTTCCTTATTATCAGAGGTTTCTAGCAAAGAAATATGTTGTCAGAATGTATCCTCTTTGTTAATAGAGGTGTTACTGTGCAAATGGATTATTATTAAAAGGAAATCTGCTTTCTTTAAAACTAGTCATTTTGAAACTTTCACTGAAAACACAATAAAATATTATTTAAAAAAAGTCATTTTAGTGTATACAGAGTTGTCAAGGTCAAAGATGTGGCAGGTGGCTAGCTGTTTTAGGTCATTGTGGATAGCAGTGTAGGTTATTGTGCAGTCAGAACTCCCCCTGCATCTTCCCAAGTACAAAGATTCTTACCTCTTCTCTCCTTTAAGTGTGTTATCCCATCAAGATAAGGAAGAAACAGTTGTGTGTTCCAATTCTACCTTGATGGTCTGTAGATCATCCCAGAGCTACATTATTGAGCTTGTTTTTTGTGTCATTGCTGTGAGAGGGACTGCTGACTTTGAAGTACTTATTGTTCATTTCAGGGCTTTTATTTCGTTCTACCACCAGCTTGGTAAAGAGCCTGGGTGGTACAATGATTAGGCGCTCAGCTGCTAACTGAAAGGTTGGTGGTTTGAACCCAGTGGGAGAAGAGACCTGGCAATCTGCTCCTGTAAAGATTATAGCCTAGGAAACCCTGTGGGGCAGTTCTAATATGTCACATAGGGTCACTACGAGTTGGAATTGACTTGACGGCACACAACAACAACATGGGCTTAATAATTTTTGCTTTATTTTTTCTTTTCTGTTTTAGGTTGCCAGGGCAGTTTTATCTGATTCACCAAAGCTCTCTGAAGGAAAAGATGTAAAATTAGAGGAGTTAATTGACTCTCTCATTTCTAACCCGTTCTTAACGAGGAACCAAATTCCCCGAACTCCAGAAAACTTGAGTAAGTTAATAATGCTTTCTCTCCTTTATTTTTTTCCTTAGAGATATTACCACTATTAGAGCCAAGGTCTGACAGATCTTCTGTAAACTCATTTTCAAACACTTCTCTGTATCTTTCAGTTCAGTTGTCAGTGGCTACTTATTTTTTTATTCTGATGTAAGGGACTTTCATTGACATATTAAGTGTGGACACTCTTACTTATAAGGCAGTCCCACAGCATGGACCTCAAAAGCAGTAGTATTTTGTTGCTTCAGTATACTCATTATACTGAGTATATAAGCCCTCATACTATAGAATATAGATAGCGTAGAATTTTGTTTTTGTTGCTTTGTTTGGATTTTTTTCTGGAAAAGAATTTATTGATGACTTTAAAAAAGAAATCCCTCTCCAGATCTGACCTGCGATCAGCGTTGTTTATAGACTATGGAGACCATATTCTCTCAGTCAAAAACCAGTAGCATTAGCCAAAAATTTGTGTGTGCATAGATCTTTTCCACCTGTCAAGCTAGTCAGACAACCCAATATTTTTTCCCCTCTTACCTATAATTTGTGTATGCAAAGTTCTGATATTGGTTTCCTCATGTAGGCAGATCCTGGTTGAGTGATTAAGTATAATTTCTATTTTGCTGCTGGAAATGACATTCAGAGTTAAACTGATTCAAACTATGGGCACAGACCAAATCCAGCCAGCCCCACGTTTTTGTAAATAAAGTTTTATTGGAATCTAACCTTGCCCATTTGTTGACATTTTGTCTATGGCTGGCTGCTTTCTTGCTACAGTGGCAGAGTTGAGTAGTTGTGACAGACTGGATGGCCTACAGAGCCTAAAATGTTACTCTCTGGCCCTTTACAGACAAAGTTTGCTGAACCCTGATCTAGATGGACAAGAAAATGTGTTTTTAGTACATGTAATTTGTATGTTGCTGTGTGAAAGTATACGCACATTTCAGGAACAGCTTTCATTTATATGTGTTCAGTTGTGTTTGCTCAGTTAGAGATAGAGTTCTTTGATATTGTTGGATTTGTTACATCATGGAGCCTTCCACTTCAACACATTTATTGAACACATACTGAGTTAGTAGCTTTATTTATATTGCATGCTTTATGTTTTGGAATACTAGTAAATTGTGTGCATGATTTTTTCCCTTAATGTATTTAGTAAGTGAAATTAGAAGTTCGTGGAGAAAAGCTATTGAAATGGAAGATGATGGAAGTACAGAACCAATTCAGATGGATACTGAACATAAAGAAGTTTTGCCAGAATCCGTACCTGTGTTACATAATCAAACAGAATTTAACATGGCCAGTTTTCTTTCCACAACCACTGTATCAGATTTTAGTCAATCTCATTTGCCTGAAGAAAAAGTTGTTTCAGATTGCCTCAAGTGTGTGTCTCAGAAACATATGGCAGCCAGTCACCTAGGTGACCCACCAACACAGAATCAGTCAGATTTGTTAAATAAGAAAATAATTTGCGAGCAAGATTCAGAATGTATGGCTTTACGGACCAAGCTGTCAGAAACTAGCCAAATATTCTCCCCTGCTGTACACAATAGGATAGATGCGATGGGTGGCAGTGAAAAGGAGTCTGTTGAAATGTCAGACCACTTGCAAGCTTCTTATAAAGAACCTTCCATGCAAAAAACTATGTTATGGAACTCTTTTCAAATATCAAGTGGAATTAGTTCTAAGAGTTTTGATACTGATTTTGGTATATTACATGAAACTCTTCCAGAAGAAGTTGGTCACCTAAGTCTTAATAGCTCCAATAATACAGAGGTCAGTTTTGAACTGGAACCAAATAGTCCTAGGCATAGTGGCATTTTTCCAGAAGATGTTGTGGGAGAAATACGGACTACTCCAAAATCAGATTTCAATTTGCAGGCTATTTGCAGTAGATACGAGGCTGTGAAAAAATCTCTTTCCAAGAAGAAGGAAGAATCTTATCTCTCTTATCCTGAAACACTTGAAAGACACAAATCAGAATTGAATCTTACTCCCAATAACCTGCAAACAGATGATATGTTTAACTTTTTGGACACTCGAGGCTCGCACGCTGACTATACAAAACCATCTTTACGCAACTCCCTTGGTGAAAGAAAACGGTCTCTTTCACCACTAATTAAGTTTTCTCCAGAGGAGCAAAGATTGAGGACCACAGTACCACGTAGTCTTGGAGAATTTCTACCTAATTTAAAAGGTAAGATTTCGTTAGACTTGTCCATATTCACCTTTTGAAGTTTTCTCTCAACTTGGTATGCAATGAATGCTGCATGATTTTTGTTGTTAATTGAGGTGATCAAATATGCTGCTTGTTCTTTCAGCTAGGATGAGCAGAGTGAATCCATCACATTATGGGTACTTTTAGAGTCTTCAGACATATGTATGTAGTTTACAGTTGGGATTAGGAGGGCTGGAAAACAAAATAAAAAATCTAAAACCTACTGCTTTTGTAATATGAACTACTGAAAGTAAACCTTGTCAGAATCTTCTTGGCTGGTGGAAGATGGTTTAGAAAAGGTTGAGAAACACTATTTTAAATATCACTCTTGTAATATAATAATATCTGTGATTTGCTTTGAAATAATTGGTAGGAGTGGGGAGTAGAAACAGAACAAGGTTGGTCAGTATTAATAATTATTGAAGTTGGGTGATGGATACATTGAGTTAATCATACTATTCTCTTCACTTTTGTATATGTCCGAAATGTTTCATGATAAAGAGTTTATAAAAATTGCTCCTATACCATGTTAGGGTAGACCTGTCTGATGGTGTAGATTCACCGTGTATCACTCTGATTGGCCCATGATAATTAAACACTGATATATTGAAAAATATTCTAAAGAGGGATGTATTGATCTTCCCTGGAGAAAAGGTACTTTAGTGAGAATAATGGTGATTTGTAATAGTTAAGTAGTTGCATAAGTATGAACTTTTTTCCTAAGAAAACTGAAATTTGCTACTACTTAGAATCTGTCATATTTACTTTACTTTGTAATGTTTACTTATGCCTTTTTTTAATCAATTTTGCAGAAGAAGAAATCCTGAATAAGTCTTGATGCAGAACAATCTCCGTCTGATTTGAAAAGATAATAAAGCAATAGTACAGTTCACTATGATGCACTTAAATGAACTTGTGGCACAGAATAAAAACTAAATTGTAATTTAAATACACATTGGAAATGTAACACTTTCTTTTTCAAAGTCTAAAAGTTCTTAAATGCCTTTTAGCCTCCTCTAATATTTTTAGGTAAGGAAGTATGTTTGGATTTTCTCTGTTTATAGCAGGAACATGGGGTTGAAATGTGAAATATTTAGAAAGCAAAATGGAGAGTTATGCAAAGACATTTTGATTTCTTGAATAATGTAAGCATTAAGTAAATGGCGAAAGTTGTAGTTTAATTTATTATGTTGTAATCTCAGTTCATTAACATAAGGGTGAGTAGTTTTTGATGTTCTTTCATTAAGTGGTTAATGGAATAGCCATTGGATATACTGATCTTTCCTTTTAGAGAAATGTATAACTTTTGTTTCTTTATGGAACATTCTGGTACTAACAGAAAATGTGAGAAAAGTAGTGCCTTCTGAGTATAGTCAAGATGACAAAGCTTAAGATTGAGAAAACTCTAAATAGGCTTAATGATTATTAGATTGGTCCTGAGAAATGATGTTTGATGGAATAAAGTGCATGTGATGATAAGTGAAGACTGGCGCAGAGTAAATTTAGAAAAAAAGGAAAAGGATGGAAGATGACACTTTTAAGGAACACTGTCAAACGAGAAGTCCATTCAGTGGGTTATACGGTAGATCTACATTTGGTGTAATTAAAGAGAATTTAATCCTAGTTTTGTATTTTAACAGAAAAAAAAGTAAATTAAAAAATTTATTAGTTTGTGGTTTGTTGTTTTTTTTGGGGGGGGAGTGGTGCTGTTTTTGGGAAAGGAACTAGATTTGATCACGTTACTTTACTGCTCAAAAATCATCAAATTTCCCCTCTGCCTACAGAATAGCCCCCAAATTAACTTGAGAAAACTGAACCCAAGTATCGTTAAATAACTTGTGTGTCATATAGCTAAGTTGTGAAGCTAGGATTTGACCTCATTTTCCTTCCTTAATATGCCACTAAGAGGCCAGGACGTAGTATAAGGCTGCAGGAGTGTGCCTTCTATTGGCCTCTGGATTCTGAGTGGGTATCAAGAGGTGAGGCTCATGTGCAGTCTCCTCCCTCACTTCCTTAGGCCCTCTGGCCCAGGAAAGGGTTTGTCTCCAGCACCCAAATGAACACATGCTGTTGTGCTCTGTGAACCAGGAGGATTGGGACAGGCATTGGAAGGTTGATGGCACCTCCAGTACCCTCTGTAGAGCCCCAACACATTAAAACCTTGTCCACTAGCCCCTAAGAAATTGGCAAGGAGAAAAGTTTAGAAAATAGATGGGCTTTAAATAGTTTCTCTCTCTTCACCCGTCCTGGGCTTTCTCTTTGTTCTGCCTATTTCAGTTTGAAGGCCGGTCTTTTTGTGAGAAAAGACAGAAGGAAAGCAACAAATTAGGGACTCTGTAGGTCTACTGGGAAAACATTCTCTAATCTGCTTTAAGAAAATCCAGTATATGGAAGTCCAAAATTAGCATGTTAGGGTGGTGGTTAGGACTATCATATTAGTATTTACAAAGTGCCAGGGCCACTACTAGGCACATATTTCATTTAATCCTCATAACTCTATAACAGTTACACCTGTTTTACAGATGAGGAAACTGAAGCTCAGGAAGCTTAAATGACTTGTCTAAGATGGACTTAAGGATCATCTCAATTAGAATCATCTGGGATGCATTTTAAAAATGTAGTCTATAGGTCAAAAGTGGGGATTAGGAATCTGCATTTTAAACAGGCTTCCCTGAGGATTTTTTAGGCTCAACAAAAAGCTTGAGAACCACTGCCAGGGATATATAGATTCACATTTTAGCCCTGGGGTACCTTTAAGAAATAGCTACACTAATGCATATTCAGATTGTTAACTCTCATGGGGAAGCTCACGTTTACCAATAAATGTAAACCAAACCAAACCCGTTGTGCCGTGGAGTGGATTCTGACTTATAGCAGCCCTATAGGACAGAGTAGAACTGCCCCACAGGGTTTCCAAGGAGTGCTTAGTGGATTCAAACTGCCAGCCTTTTTTTGGTTAGCAGCCTTAGCTCTTAACCATGACACCACCACAGGGTTTCTAGTAAACTGTAGGAGGCCCTTAACTACTATGAATCAGAATATCTCTGGGCATTATTTGATTTACAGAAATCATATTGTTGAGTGAGTTATAGCTGTGATGGGCTGAGTTTTTGATATTTGTCTCTCGTATGCTAATACTATTAACAAACATGTCTCAAATCTATCTCGTCCTTTGCCCAAACACCTGATTACAGCTTACTGCCTTTAGCCTCTCCGCTATCCAATACCTCCTCCATAGTTGCCTTTTGGCCGTAAGGGACTGCTTTAAGTCACTTTCTTGCTTAAATATCCAATAATTATTGCAAATTCCAGGATAGAGTTCAAATTCAAAGGTGTATAAGGTCCCCTCCATAGGTTTCCTCTAGTCTCCCTTCTACCACGCTCTCCTCTAATTTTCACTGAGACGTTCCTGTGAGCATGGGCCTTTAGAAGTTTTAATTCACAATCCCCCTGAAGCTGAATACCTTACTTTCCCTTGCAGTTCATCACAATTATAGCTCTCTTTTAGGGCTCAGAACAAATCTCACTTCTACATTGAAGTCTTAATCTTTTCCATATCCGTTTGCCTATCCCTTCTCTGAAATCTATGGTTTATCTTATCTGTTTTATTCACTTGGTATTCCATTTATTCCTTTTATTATATTTTTTCCTGGTTGTCTGTGACCTCTATATAAACAACTCTGTGCATACATACATACCTATGTAGATGCGTGTGTGTGCACATACATACCCCAAAGACCATGGGCCATTTTTGGCAACTATATCAAAATTGGCATTGTGTGCCTCCTACTTAATGGCATTTAAATAATGGTAAAAAAGGCTAATTTATTGCTGTATGTGTATTCTTTTTCACTATATTCATATCAGACAAGTTACACAAAGTACTTGTTTTATTCACTACTTTTAAGATATAAAAGTGTGTAAACTGACTTCTGTATTCTCAACCTGAAATCTTAGTTAATGCCACAATGTCCTAATTGTTTTAATTGTTTAAAGAGGACAAGCATAAAATGTTGCTTAACATGAAAAATGCTGTGAAGTGGAATAAAGAATATTGGAAGTTAAAACATTTAGAGGGATATGACTGAAAACAAAAATACTGACAACTATTTTGAAGCCTTTTCTGGACTAAGTGATTCTTCACCATGATCTATGAAGTAAACTTTTATCTAAAAACAGGAATTCTTGAGACCTGTAATATAAAAGTAAATCCCATCATTTTTTTCTGTGTATTTTAAAAAAGAAATGTTTAAGGACATTTCCCTCAATGTAATGTATTTGCTAAAATAAAATGATCTGTTTCATTAAGCTGCAGATACATGCTTGCTCTAGAGATCACCTTTCTCCTTCTGCACTGTGAAAGCCGTCTACATCCAAATTTTATAACATTTGAGTTCTCTATGAGACTATTAAGATGTTCCATATACTGTACTATTGTCTTGAATATTCAATATTATACCATTTGTCCTTGGAATTTCCTATATCATCAGCAAAAAGAACTATGTCCTGCAAACCATAAAATTATCACATATAAAGGTATATAACAAGAAATTTGAGAGGTTCAGTGATTCAGATTTGTACTTATTGCCAATGCCCTAATTAGCTGTGTTTTATAATTTACATCTGAATAGCTTGCTGCTCTTAATGGGTAGGGAACCTGTCATCCATAGCTAGAAAGGGTTTAATAAATGTTAAATTTAACTTTAAAGCCTTGGAAATATATCTTAAATATATTTAATGTCTGTATACTGCCTCATCAAAAATTAGGAATTATAGAATTCTTGAGGCCCCAAAAGTGGGTATTCTAAGAATGTGATTCAGTTTTACCCAGACTTCTAAATACAAATGGGAGAGTGACACTGTCCAAAGTGAAACACTGTTCCTTGGGAAAATTCACTTCCCTGGGCTTCAGCTTCCTGTCTGTAAAATTAAGAGAACTATATGAAGGAATAATCTACATATAAACAGTTCGGATTTTTATGATTAACTTTTCTGTCAGTATAGGACAGAATGTAGGGTATAATGGTTGGGGGAGAGAAAGGATCTTTAGTTGGATTGCCTGGGTTCAGCTATGCAACTTTCATAAAGATACTAAACCTCTACCGGTTTTCCCATCTATAAAGTAACCTACCTCATAGGTTGTGAGGATTAAATGAGATAAATGCACATAAAATATTTCAGAATACCTGGTATTTAGTAAGGGCTTATATATTTAGCTAGGCTTCACATTCAGTAATTGGGGAGAATGGCTCAGTAGGTAGCAATGATAGCTAACATAGTACCATGCGCCAGGCACTACTCTAAATGCTTTCCATGTTTTAATTTAATCCTTTTAACAATCCTATGAAGTAGTGCTATTCTTATCCACATTTTACAAACAAGGAAGCAAGCACAGTGAAATTATCTTGCCCAAGTTCACAGAGCTAGTAAGTGAAGAGACCAGAATACAACTCAACTCTGGTGGTCAGGCTCCAGAGTTCATACTCTGAAGCACTCTGTTGCAGCTGCCATGAAACATCCCCAAGGAGATGGGGGCTAAGACTACAAAAGCATATTTGCCGGTAAAGCAATAGCTGTGGGCAGTCAAATTATGTCAAATAACACTATTTTAAATTGCTAACAGCAAATGTTTATTCATGATTGAAGCCAAGAAGAATTTATAAATGCATTTTAATTCCTTGCTGATAAAATAGTAACATTCCATCTTTGCAATCTAGTAAGGAATACAGAAAGATATTGGTAAAGGCTTTGATGTGCATATCTATTATAACCAGGTAATCAGAACACACACACAAACCACCTACTTTAGTGTTACACCATACCAACTTTTCAGAAAGGCCATCTTGAAGCTCTACTGGACAGCTGAGTAAATAGCGTTCAATGCTTAAAGAATGGGAATAGGGAAGAAAGAGATGGAAATAGTAAGCAGCACACATTTCAAAGCCCACTTTTAAGCACACAACATTATGAATATCAAAAAGAGGGTGCAAAAAAAAAAAAAAGCAATTCAGCATCTTCAGCAACAGCATTTGGCAATATTCAACGCATAAGGAGACTGTGCTTGGGGCCATCCACTCTCTCCAGCTTCTCAAAGTGTTTCCTGGCATTGCGAATGTTGATCAGAGTAGCTGCAGAAGGGATCGATGGATCAGACATAACAACCATCACGTACGTGTTTGATGTGAAGATGTCGATGAACGCAGCGAAGTTAGAATTCCTGACTTCCATGCTCTGGAAGGAAGCGGCCAATTTACTGCAGCTCAGCTTGAACTGCTTAATGATGTTACTGATCTTCTCAAAGCGGTGGACGTCACGCTGCTCTTTGCACTGGTAATGGGAAATAACCAAGAACGTAGCTCTCTCGAACAGCAGAACTTCATCGGCCTCAATAATTTGGGCAAAATTCCTTAAGTTCATCTCCAGCTGCTGAACGTTGGGGATCAGCTGATAGACAATACTGGACCAGGCTTTGTACAGCGTCTCATCCCAGATGGATGTTCGAAAACAAGCGCA